CCCCCCCCCCGCCTCCCAGGGCCCCTGGAATGCCCCGTCTTCCCCACGGAGCTGGCCTTCGCCTTGGACACCTCCGAGGGGGTCACCCAGGACGCCTTCAGCCGGATGAGGGACGTGCTCTTGAAGATCGTGGGTGACCTGACCATCGCCGAGAGCAACTGCCCGCGTGGGGCCCGCGTGGCCGTGGTCACCTACAACAACGAGGTGACCACGGAGATCCGGTTCGCCGACTCCAAGAAGAAGTCGATGCTCCTGGACAGGATCCAGAACCTGCAGGTGGCCCTGACGTCCAAGCAGCAGAGCCTGGAGAACGCCATGTCCTTCGTGGCCCGGAACACGTTCAAGCGGGTGAGGAGCGGGTTCCTCATGAGGAAGGTGGCCATCTTCTTCAGCAACAAGCCCACGAGGGCGTCGCCGCAGCTCCGGGAGGCGGTGCTGAAGCTGTCGGACGCCGGCATCACGCCTCTGTTCCTCACCAGCCAGGAGGACCGGCAGCTGGTCAACGCCCTGCAGGTGGGTGCCCGGGGTGCCCTGGCGACACCCCCCGCTCTCCTTCTGGGGCTCTGAGCAGGTTCTCAGGCTCGCCCGTGCCCTCCCGGGTGTACCCATGACCCACAGTTTCTAGAAGGCGCTGGAGGAGGCTGGTCTGGCCGAGAACTTCTCTATCGAGGCTCCCAGGACAGCCTCTGGCCCCGGCTCTAGGTCCCAGGCTCCCTCCTCATGTGGAGAGGGGGTCCCCCAGGGTGACCCGGGTGGGTGCCGTCTCCTAGTGAGGTCCCCAGACATCTGTGAGTTCAGCTCCCCGTGCGCCCGCCGTTTAAACCTTCCTTCAGCCGGGCTGGCACCCAAGGGTCAGCCCGTGATGCAGACAAATGCACCCTTGTTACTGGCTTGAGCTTGTTTAATTGTTATACTTAATCGAATGATACCTTCTTAGCACAAATTCCGGGCTCCCGGTACACAGGGGTGGGGGTGGGCACGGAGGGGAAGCGGCCCTGAGAGGGAGGAGCCGGGGCCCCTTCATCCGCTGACCCACCATCTGGCTTCAGGTCTCTCACAGTGACGTGGTCACGTCGCCTCCCCTCCCGGCGGCTTAGATTTCCCACCTGTGGAGGCGGCGGGTGGAGACAAGCTCCAACCTGGCCGTTCCGTGGTCTTCCCGGGCCCCGTGCCAGCGAGAGGCAGCTGGGTCGCTGTCACCTTTCTCAGGTTATACTCTCCAAGCCGCAGGCCAGTGGAGCACAGAGCACCGGGCGTGGGGCCCTCTCGGGCCACCAGCCGTGGCTCTTGTGAGGGGCGTGCTGTGTGGGCCGAGGGACCCAGACCCACGTGCGTGTCCAACAGCACAGTTCCAGCGAGTTAGAAAAGTTAATTATTCATTCACTAACTGGATTTAATTATTTGCTAAATAAATAATTCCTGCCGGTGTGCTGTGGTGGGCAGGACTTGTGAATCTGCTGGAAATGATTCAATTACTTGCCTTGTCATTAAATCCCTCTGGAGGCCTTGGGGGAGAGATAAAGGAAGGGAGCTAGTGTTTGCCAACTGGCATTATTATTGCTGAAAATGACCGTATTATCTAAGCCCCACTATTCGATTGAGGCTGTCCTAGGACTTTACATATATCACTGAGCCTAATCCCTCAAATGACCGTTGAGAATTTACTGTCATCCCATTTTACAGCCGAGGAAACTGAGCCCTGGAGGGTTAGATAATCTTGCTCCAGGTCCCGCAGGAAGTGCAGGAGTGGGATTCGGGCTCCAGCTCCTTCCAGCAGGAGAAAACCGGTGTTTTCCCATCAAACTCAGTGCCTCCTCTACCCCCCCGGAGGATACTGACCCGTCGGGGAGACTGTTCTGCTGATGGGACTCGTTCATTCCTCGGCTGGATTTTGCATGCAGTTACCGATGGTGGACATGCCTTCCCACCGAGCATTTCCTTTCGTCTGTGCAGATCAACAACACGGCCGTGGGCCACGCGCTCGTCCTGCCCGCCAGGCGCGACCTCACCGACTTCCTGAAGAGCGTCCTGACCTGCCACGTCTGCCTGGGTAAGGCGCCTCCAGCGGGCGCGTCTGTCCAGCTGCAGCACGTGTGTCCCTGGAGGGACATTTGCGCAAAAAACCGGAGTCTGGGGAAAGGGCTTGAGCTGGGGGGAGATTCACGGAGCCTGGTATTTACCGCGCAGATACCACGTGGTAGTTTACGTGTTTAAAGTGGAGCCGTGGACAGGGCTTCTCTCAGACGGGGATGGTTCGTCTCATAGGTGATAAGGGCTCTGCTGCAAGTTCGACCAGCAGACTTAGGCTCAGGGACTTGTGTCATTTAGCAAGTGTTGCTCTGTGATGAAAACGGAAATCTGGACACAGCGATGGTCAGAAAGGGAGTAACAGGCTCCTACGTTCCGCGACGGTCTCAGCTGCCAGGCTCCCAGGGGATTGACGGGCCACACCTCGCTGCGGGGTTCGGGGGGGCCCGTATGACGAACGGGCGGCCGTGTTTCTTCCCAGACATCTGCAACATCGACCCGTCCTGCGGGTTCGGCAGCTGGAGGCCCTCCTTCAGAGACCGGCGGGCGGCGGGCGGCGACGTGGACATCGACATGGCCTTCATCCTGGACAGCGCCGAGTCCACCACCCTGTTCCAGTTCAACGAGATGGGGAAGTACATAGGCTACCTGGTCAGGCAGCTGGACCTGAGCCCCGACCCCAAGGCCTCCCAGCACCTGGCCAGGGTGGCCGTGGTGCAGCAGGCGCCCTACGAGTCCGTGGGGAACGCCAGCGTGCCGCCCGTGAGGGTGGACTTCTCCCTGACCGACTACGGCTCCAAAGAGAAGCTGGCGGGGGCCCTGGGCAGCAGGATCACGCAGCTGCAGGGCACCAGGGCCTTGGGCCCCGCCATCGACTACACCGTCGAGCACGTCTTCGAGAGCGCGCCCAACCCGCGGGACCTGAAGGTCCTGGTCCTGATGCTGACGGGCGAGGTGCGGGAGCAGCAGCTGGAGGCGGCGCAGAGGGCCGTCCTGCGGGCCAAGTGTAAGGGCTACTTCTTCGTGATCCTGGGCATCGGCAGGAAGGTCAACGTCAGAGAGCTCTACGGCCTGGCCAGCGAGCCCAACGACGTCTTCTTCAAGCTGGTGGACAAGTCCACCGAGCTCAACGAGGAGCCCCTGATGCGCTTCGGGCGGCTGCTGCCCTCCTTCGTCAGCAGTAAGTCCCGGGTCAGCGTCGGCCGGCCCAGGTCCCCGGGCCCTCGGCGGGGGG